TTTAGTAATGTTCCTTATGTGTAGATGAAAAGTTAATTATACTACAGGTGGAAAGTATATAGTGGGAGGTGTACATAAGACTTAGTATATAGGAATGACTTAGGAATCTTTCTCTTATTTTATCACTTAGTTTAGCTTATACTACTTTTAAGAGTATCTGAGTTATATCTCTAGATTATTATTATTGCCCTGCACTTATTATATATATATATAAATCATTTTTGGCTTACCCATTTTAGAGTAAGTGTTTAGTTAATGATCTCATCATAAGTGTATATATATATATATCAATATCTCTAGTCGCCGCTCCTCCTATGGTAAAATATAAATAATGATACCTAGAATAGTCTCGGGTGAAGTGCTACAATGGTATATCACGTGGTGCTTATGTAATTCTTCATATATATATATATACTCTTCCTAAATTACAAGTGTCATTAATAAATACCAATGGCACCTTTCAGGTTTGAAATTGGGCCTAGATTCTCGATTAAGTAATCTTCTGCAGGTTGGCTTCAATGCTACGTTCGGAGGCGATGAATGCAAGGAGCTTTCCTTTGGGCACCCTCAAGCTGACTTTTTAAAGGTTGAGCTTTATTCTAAATTCTAGGTGGCGTAACGCGACCCAGATGATGACTAGTTGGTCGGCCTTCTTCGATTTTACGACCAATGTAAATCGATGTAGACTTATATGACTTCCCCGACGAGTTCGCCGAGGCACCTGTCATGCACCTCTTGGTAGTGGCTCGGTGTTTATGAGTTCTAACGGCATGGTGACATAACAATATTAGGTGCCAAAAGGGAGTGATGAAAGAGGTTAGCGAAGTGGTGCTTCTGGCTTCATTTATTCAATCTGGTGGTACCCAGTAATGCAGCGTCCAGGAAGCATTGGGGTTTTCACCCCATGGCCAAATCAACCACTTGATCGATCCATGATAATAGGTATGGCACCTTCGGGCATGCTTTATTCAGATTGGGTAGTTCACGTACATCCTCCACATTATGTTCTTTTTCCGAACTAAGGCGGGTTGGTGATCCATTGAGGTGAAAAACTTCCTTGATGAAGACCCCATGGCGGGCCATGCCCCACCCCGCCATAACACTTCGTGGATCTTTATAACGGTCGAGTGACACAAAACACCCCATGTGACAAACCAACACATATAATGCCCAACATCATGCCCAACTATCAAGATCATTATAATTACGGGAAAATACATGGTACACAGAGGGTATACACAATTTTAGTTTCTCCTCTAAGTTCAACTCTTTTGCTTAACCGCTCAGAAACTTATCGGAGTTAACTCATAGCTCATCTTGGATTCACCCAATCCAAGGTCTACTTTCTGACCAGTTGAATTGAGCATTACCTCATGTCCACCAAGACAACAACACCTACAAAAACAACTTAATTCAGTAGCACGTGAGTACATTTTTGTACTATGGGTACTTAATTCCAACATACAAACATTTTTGTGGATGCAAGTGATAGCAGTGCATTTGTACATTTGTAGAAAAGTATATGGCGTTTCTTAATGACATGCTATGAATTCATTATTAAAGAGATTAGCATTAAAATATCACGATATCTAGAAGAGTGATCAACATCATTGGGACATATCATCATTAGGTTCCATCATTACACTACCATGGGTATATTGAGTAGGCACAACCAAAGGGTAAAGATCCCCGAGGGACTTTAGGCTTTCAAAACTCTGTGTAGAGGTGTACAACTTGCATCTACGACGGAAATACGAGACTAACTACCATATTCTAGATGCAGGGAATAAGGGTTGTTTCACAATTTCCAACCTTTCCCTAAATCAAACTGAATATCTCATGAAATGTTCGAATGGTGCCGATCGGGTACTAGTGCTACCACCCACTCATCAGGCGCCACCTTCTTGCCCGATCTCACGGATAGACCGGTCGCATGGTGGTTACTAGGCTTGCACACCCCATATGCGATATGTGAGTGCGTATGGTGGTTACTCAGACTCACATATCCTAATACACGGTCCTTAACTGCTCCACAAGCTTATGTCACTTGAGGTCCCCCACTCACAGTGACTTCTACCCTCGCTTGAGCAAGATTAGCCAAATTGATCATCAAGTTCATATATCAAGATTAGGTTGAGTCCTTAACCAAAGATTAGGGAAGGTAGAAAAGATTTATAACCCTCGCTCATTTTAGTAGTTAATTATTCCGGTGTAGCATCCACCATGCCAAAGCTTGAGTTCCCTTCTCTATACTTAACTGCCATTACTAAGCAAGTAAGCATTTAAGCGTTACTAAACCCATTGTTTAAAGGAAGGCTCCCATCCATAGAGTGAGTAGTTCTAACTTGAGAAGCATCACTAAGTTGATTAACTAAATCTATATGATATGCATAACTCATAATGAAACACAATA